TATGACTCATAGAATGAAGCACTGCCTAGTCCTAGACTAGCCTCGATAACATACTGTTTGAGTCTTGAGCTGAGTCTTAAAGGAGCAGAAGGCATTACAAGGGGATGCCAAGGCATGTTACAAAAAGGGCAAAAATCCAAGTAAAAGTACTCGAGAGTTAAGGGAACAGCAGGTCATCCCATACCGTTACACTGAAAAACACCCACAAACCAACCCACCAAAACAACATACCTCATTACCATTAAGTCAGAGCCCCACTTTGCCTCTTCCTCTTCTCACATTGCCTGCTCCTTTCAGGTAACCCTTTCATTTCTATAGGCTCCACTGGAGGTGATGCATTAACATAGAAGCTGCCTTAGAAGCTGAAGAGCAAGGCCGGCCTGGTAGGCCAGCTCTACTCCCCATCTTCTAACACTTATTTATATGTGGTTTGCTGACATTCCGGGGAGGGATTTCTCTCCTCAAGTAAGTTGGAAACTAATGCCTTAACTTAAAGGTGAAAATTGCAGGTACTTGAGCAAGAGGGAGCAGAAGTATTTGGGGATGCCATCTTATTTATTAGTCTTCTAAGTACATCCTGAACTACTACTTGGTGCCTTAGTCTATGCTTGAAGGTCACTAATACTGGGGAAGGATGACTGTCTTGAGTGCTTTGTATTTTAGTTAGAAAGATCAGGCTAAATCTCATGAACCTTACTTAGTAGGTGAAAGTCAAGGATTAAGAGGCAAATGAAAAGATCTGAGAGGAACAGAGAGGCAGCTGAACATCACAGTCATGTGAATTTGAATCTCCAGGGAAGTTACAAGGTAAATCTTAGAACTGGGCAACTTGGGAAAAAAAACTGAACTTCATCCCATTTGTGTGAAATATGTAGGAACAGACAGATCTATAGGGACAGAGTGGATTAGTGATTGCCTAGGGCTGGGGTGGAGATATGGGGAATGAAGTGATTGGAAGGTGACTGATGGCTAAAGTGTGAGGGGTTTATTTTGGGGTGGATGAAAATGTTCTAAAATTGGTGTGGTGATGCTTGTACAGCTCTCTTGACTATATGAAAAGCCATTGAACTGTATACTTTAAAATGGTAATTGCATGGTACGTCAATTATATCTCAATAAAGCTATTAAAAGAAAACCAAAACCCATCCTCCAGAAGGGAAGACAACCATTAGCTTCCCTGGCCTATGTGCTGCCTGGTATCTAACAGGAAAGTCACTAGATACTTATAGATGTATATATTATGGTGTAAAATGTAAATAAACAATTGTAATGGAATTAGTATTAGTTCTATTCCAGGGAAGTGCAGGTTCCTGCAACAAAATAGTGAAGGTGCAGCTTCCTGAAGAAATTCATGAAGCCAACACTGAAGCTTGCTGGGTTATTGGGCCACATGAGGAGTGAGAATAGCGTGCTTCAAGTGATATAGTGAGGCTTGAGTGCAGAGGGAAGAGTTAGGTGGCAGAAATGAGGCAGGATCAAGGTGGGCAAAGATCCAGAAGGGCTTTGTGAGCCATGAATGAAGGAGCTGGAATTTTCCCTAAGGGGAAGGAGAGCCTGTAATAGTAGCAGATTTATGTTTTAAAGATCATTTTACTGTACCATGGCGAATGGATTGCAAAAAGGCAAAACTAGAAGCAGGAAGCCTATAAGGAGGAATTTTTAGTCTAGACAAAAGATCAATGTGTTCCAAAGCTGGTAGTGCCAAAGGGCACAGAGAGGAGCAGCTAGTTTAGAAGTATATAGGGGATTTAATTGCCAGAATGGCTAATGCCTTGGAGGAGGAGACCAAAGGAGTCATGGAGAAGATATGGCTTAGATACTTGGGTAGTTGGTAACTCCAGGAACCTCGAATGGGGATCAAGACTTTAAGAAGATGCTGAGTTTAGCTTTGATTTGAATTTGAGGTGCCTGGGACATTCAAAAGATGTCCCATCAGTACCTAGAAACAGAGATCTGAAGCTGAGGAGGGAACCATATAAATTATGAGAGGAATGGATGAAGGATTCCAAGGAATGGATTTCAAGAGGAGGAAAGAACCTAATGTGGGACCCTGTGGGGTGAATTTTAAGAAGAAACTTGAGAAAGAGGAGAAGGTTATAAAAACACTTGAGTGTTAGTCATAGAAATTCCTCTGTGCTCATGAGTCCTGTGTTTATTCAGAGATAAATGAGACCTAACCCTTGACATCACACTTAGACTAGTGGCCATCACCCAGCAGCCTTCTGAAACTAGAGGCCTCTTCCTCATAGGCCAATGCCAGATTCCTTTTCTGTGTAATAGATTATACTTCCCTAGCAGTTTACCTGCAGCAATGGAGTACTTTCCAAGTTTACCCTCTGGAGTCAGGCAGACTTAGCATGACTTTTTTGGACCTTTGTACCCAGGTCTGGCAGCCAAGAGCCTTCCGTCCATGGGGATATATGGACTACACAGGACATCCCAGGGCAGCTTTGGGGGATGAGGCAAAAGGAATTTGACATATCCTTGGGGTTCAGCAACTTATTACCCACACACCAGGCACAAAGACACACAAGGAAGGCCCCACACTGTGTGGGTGAGATAAAGAGGCATCCTCCCCCCACGTACCAGCGCATCTGTTTCTTTGCCCTCATAAACATGCTTTCTTTTTTGTTCTTTGCAGCTTTGAACACACGAGGAAGAAGAGCGGGCAATGGGAGAAAGGTAAGGGATGGAGATGGTGAGAGGGAAGGAAACGCGGGTACTGGGAGGAGACTCCAGCAACTGCCAAAACAATAAATTGCACCCTTCGTGACTTTAGCCTTGCCCCGTTTTTGTCATGTGCGCATACCTGTTTCCTGACTGAAGGTGATGGTCAAGGTATGGTCATTGCCTCAATGAACCTGATTGATAGGGAGATTTCTTGATGTGTCACAGGCCACAGAGACCCACTCCCATCTGTCCCCTCACACAGGTCACATGGGCACGGTTTCCCTGCCCTGGTGTCTTTAGGTCCTGATGTTGTCATTAACCTCCTATTACCTAGAACAGCAGGCTCCTGACTGTCTCATATCTGAGACAACAAAAATGAATGCCATTTCAAATCTGCCTGATAGTAGATGAAGACTGTTGTGGAGCAACTTTACACTACCTGAAACCTGTGAGAGGCACCTGTAAAGGGATGGCGGGGGTAGGGTGGGGTATGTGCTGTTGGGATGTACAGGAGAGAGGACAAGTGTTCTCCCCGCCATTTACCATTTCACAGCCTGGGCAGGGCCATCATCCTGCTAATCACTGACGGAGAAAGATCGAGTGGCTAACACTGGGGTAAACCTACATTCATTTGCTCTGGCGTTAAAAACCTCCTTTCAGAAGGCAGAGTGTTAGGGGCCTTGTCTTTCTCCAGCACTAGAGAATGGGGGTGCAGGACCACTCAGATTACCAGCAACAGATACAGCTGACCCCTGGCTGGACTGGTATTTTTCCATCCTGATATTTTCCATCATCCTAATGTTTTTGTCTAGCCTCCCCCCTCTCCTCCGATGGGTTGAGCTGGGACCTCATGTTGTCTGGGTCACCCTGGTCAGTCAGCATTCACTTCCTCCACCCAGCTCGTGCTCTTGATGTCAGTGAGCAGTCCTGCCCTGTCAGAAGGGTGACCTCTCTTGGGGGGCTGTAAGCCTGCAGAGCCCCTAGAATGATGGTTCGGAGACTGTATCTTTCTTGGCTCCTGCAGGAGTCTTCAGAGCAGGCACCAGCCTTGCCCAGTTTTGGGTGCTGGCTCAGTTTCTATCACTTGTTTTCCCCCACATCTACTTCGCTGCCCCCTGCTGACCACCTACCTGGAAGACTTAGCAACACTGTTCCTCATGCCACCCTTCCTAGTTTCAGAGAGTACAGAGCTGTGCCAGTGTGTGGAGGGCATGTGCCTGTCCCCACCTCGCACCCTTCCTGGAATGAGCCACCTGCATCCACATACAGGTGTTTCCTGTGCTCCTTCCTGTTGCCGTTTTTCTGCTTAGCTTGGCTTCCCCAGCAGGTGGTTAAGGCCCCAGCCAAGTCTCCATGTGCAGCTCTAAACACTGGGGGGCAGGGCTCTCTGGGGATCTGGGTCACCCTTGCCCCCTGGGGAGACTGTTGGCACCTCATCGGCTCATCCTGAGTTGCAGGGCACTGTCATCTCCATACACATGCTGTCATGCTTCTGTGCTTCTGCCACAAGCACTGAGGGATATCAGAGAGGACTTGGAGGGAGGGGGAAGCCTGCCAGCAAGCTCCTTTGCCTCTGGAGGGAGAGGAGCCCTGGGGGTAGGGTGGGGGGAGGCTGAGGACTTCAGAACAGGCCTGACGTTCTGGAATCACACTCCACCCTTAAGTTCCTCACACAGAACTCTTAACCTTCTGGGGTTAACAGATTCATGTGCTAGGCTGCTCTGGGGGAGCTAAGCCTCCCCAGGGCTCTGCTTCCTGAAACCCCTTGTCAGCTTGCTGTCCCTGGCCACAGCGGGTCAAAGGGGTCAGTCAGGTTTGTTATTACAGAGTGGGAGGTGGGCTCTGCAATGGGAAGGATTTGCTGTCAAGGTCACAGGGCAGCCATCCGGCTCTCCTGACTCCCAGGCCCCAGTTCTTTTCCCCTCAACCAGGATCTAGATTCTTGCCACAGCCCTCAAGGATAGCTCAGCTCTCTGTAGGAAGTAGTCTGAGCTGTAGGCAGACCTAGAAGACTGGCACCTCCAAGTATGGCTCTGCTGCCCCCTGGCGGCCAGATCTGCAGCCACCATAGGGACTTTGCCTGCCTGCTTCCTCTTTGCTCCTTTGCCCCATGGCAGGAGCTAGCTCCCAGAACATATATCCTTTGAATCTCTTTAGCAACATCCCAAGCATAGTGCTCGCTTGTCGAAGCCCTGTTCCAGCCACTGGGCTTTCTTCTACCTGGATTTCCAGGGTAAATGCAATTGCTGTTGTCACAAGTGGAATGTGGACTTGTGTCAGGCAGAGATGCTGATGCTAAAGGTTAGCGCACAGCAGGCCGGGCCATGTAAGAAAGGCATTTTGCTTTAATTTTATGTAAAACTCTGTAAATAATATACAAAACCAAGGGATGTAGGGGCAGAGGCAGGGTGACCAGGCTCTGGACAGTGGTTTGTGGCAAAGGGGTTTGCTGAGCCCAGGCTGGGAGGCACTTGACTGCAGGCTCTGGCTCCACAGACCCCAAGGGGAACAGAATATATTAGATTTTCATTGAAAGGAATCTGGGGGGAGGGGTATCCAGAGCCAGCCCTCACCCTCCCTGCCAATGCCTAGTAAGCCCCGAAAGTGGGGACAGGGGTACTGAGAGCCTGGGGGGTAGTTAGAATGCCGTGCTGGCCATGCTGCCAGGCCCGAAAATTCGGGGCAGAGCATCCAGGGACTCCTCCAGCCGTCGGTGGGCAGACTGTCCCTCTTCCCCTGTGGTGGATGAGAAGAGGGTCAGAAGAGACCTATCTCTCTCAGCTCTGGCACCCTGGTCCCATCTCACCCTCCTCTCATGACCCAGGATGACCCACTGTCTGCTTAGCCCACCCTCTCAGCCTTACCACACTGCTGCAGGCTCTGTCGGGCAGCTTCCCGCACGGCCTCTGTGTCTGTTTGGCATAGGTATACCAGGGGTTCAATGCCCTCGGGTGCCTATCAGGGGAAACACAGAGCGGGGAATAGGTGTGAGAGGCCCAGGGGTAGGGTAAGGTGAGGAGAAGTAGGAAGGGTGGGTGGATTGGCAGCAGTCACCTTGATGCAGCCCAGGGCCAGGCAGCCAGCCACTCGGGTCTGTACATCCTCATCCTCGAGCTGGTCCAGGAAGCACAAGAGGGCCTGGGTGGAATGAGGTGGGGGAGACTTAGTCAGATACTGGAAGCTTGGGACCCCACCTTTGTCTTCAGGGGAGCACTGGTGGGCCCTTACCCTCTCTCGGAAGGCAGGGCCCAGTGACAGGCTCCGGAGCTGGGTGCTGACTGCAGCCATGACCTTGTTGTTGCCATGAACTAGCAGGGAGCTGAGGGCCCGCAGCCCATCCTTACGAAGCCGCCCCTCAGGCGCCAGCCTCAGAGCCTTCAGCACAACAGCTTGGTCATCTGAGTTCAGATTCCGCACCAGTAATACTAAAAGGAAGAGGAGTAGATTGGGATAAAGTGGCAGGGCCAAGAGCCTCCTGGGTTGGGGAGGGCTTATATATGCTCATGTCCTTATCCACTCCATCAGGCCCACCTACAGCATTGGGCCCTTTGTCATTAGGGCTACTGGCTCACCCTCCTCAGCCGTCTCAGTCACATAAGCCTCCATGGAGGGGGCATCCAAAGTTTCAACATAACTCCAAAACTGGAAGACAGTGAGCTGCTTGCCAGGGCCTGGCTGGGGCCTCCTAGGCAGCTTCTGCGCCAGCACTTCCTCTAAGAACTTGACACACACTGTGGGAAACAGTACCCATCATCAGATCCCTCTCAGAGAAGCTCATCCAAAGGGGGCCCCTGTCCAAACCCCACCATCTAGGTCTTCTTGCCCAGCACAGGCCACAAGCTTTTGCTATTTCTCCCCAGTGCTGTGCTCAGTATGGCTTGTGGGGTGACCTGACATCACTGAGCCCTGAGCACAGGGGATATGAGACAGGAGAGATGAACGGGCAGAAGGCACCCACTCACCAGCCTCCGCCAAACCTGACTGGCGCAGGGAGAGGCGGGCACTGTACTGGGTGCAGAAGGTGAGGAGCACCCGCTCCACGGGGCAGATGAAGGGGCCAAGTCCCTCTGTGCACTGGTCCCAGAAGGTCAGGAAGCCGGGCCGAGAGACTGAGAACTGCACCACTGTGAAGGGTGCAGACACTGTCAGAGACAGGGTGGGCAGGTGCAGGCAGACACATGGGTGGGGTAGGATCTGAGCTTCCAGGCAGATGGCAGAGCCCACAGGGGGCCTTTACCTTCCTGGGCAGAGGTGGCAGGGGTCTCCCATCGCCCACTGAGCTCACACACAGCTTCAAGGACTCGGGCTTCCCGCAGCAGCCGCTCCAGAGCCCATGCCTCCTGACAGCGCAGGGGCCCAAATGTGCCTAATTTCTGGAGAACAGTGGTGGACAAGTAGTTCAGACCTCTAGGTAAGGCTGTGAGAGGGTGGAGTCCCAGGACTACAAATTCCAGCATGCATTGGGAAAGCTGGGGTGATCCTGAGCATGGGATGGGAGGTGTTCCATTCAGCAAGGGCCAGACGCCAGGACCCTGGGGCAGTGAGATAGGGAACCCAGAGGTGTGGAGGGCCAGGATTGAAGTGTGGGACTCCCTGGAGCAAAGTGCCACAAGGAGAAGGTGGTGGAGGACACCACCAGCCTCACCAGCAGGAGGTGGCTGCAGTGGTACAGGTGCTGGACCAGGGCAGCATCCAGAGCTAGACAGCCTGTGCTGAGGGGCTGGGCACGGGGTGAGTCTAGGCTGTCCTCAGTCGTGGGCTCCTGGTTGGTCAGGGGCCTGAGGTAAAAGTGGGGTCAGTCACCCTTGGAGCACATCACCACTTGGTCATCAGTGTGCATTTTTATTGAACTCCCTCATCCCACAATGAAAAAACAGACAATACACATATGACAATGAGTAAGTTGACAGGGTTTCCATGAGGAAAGAGCTGGGATCCGCAGGTAGCAGGGAATTCTCTGGAGCAAGACTCGCCTGGCCACCTCCAGCTAGGAGCGCTGAGGCTGGGACGGGCGGGAGAAGGGCTGCAAGCGGGATGGTCTACGCAGTGCAGAGTGCAAGGGGCTGGGGCCCAAGGGGCGCAAGGCTCGTGGCCGAGACCTTGGTAGCAGGAGAGGGAGGAGAGGCCGGGCACGACCTTCAACTGAGGAGTGGCAAAGGTTGCTTGGACACAAAGAGCTGAGGGGCCGTGGCCTCCTGGAAAGTCGGGATCGAGGCAGAGAGGACCGTTGTGGGGACACCCAGCGTGCATGGGGAGGCACTGCAAGAGCATGATTGAAGGGTGGATCCAAGGTGAGGCCGAAGGAGGGAAGAGGATCTGTGGGCTCACAGGCTGATGAGGCTCGGCGAGGGAAGCAGACATTGCAGAGACGAGAAGGGTGACCAGAAGCACTGGGGAATCAGATGGAGTTGGAGACGTGGACACAGGAGGACACATAAGGGGTATACGTGGGAGGGTTACACACAGATGCACCTGCCTTCCCGTCCACCTTACAGCCTTACAGCCCTTTCCATGTGCTCCACCTACCTGCTTCCTCTTACTTGGTCCTGTATCTGTGTCCCTACCTCTTATTCCTCCTTCACCTCTTCCCCCTCTCCCAGCTTTGTCGCAGCCAAGCCCTCACTCAGCCCCCTCACCTGTCCCCAGGACCACCACTGTCTTCATCTTCATCATCGTTGAGAAAACTGAAGCTCTCCAGGGCATGCTCCACAGTGATACTAAGACTGGAGGCCCGGCTTCGGGTTAGGCCTTGCCTCTGCTGGGGTTATGGAAGAAGTCAGAGCTGCTGCTACTGCCTGGGCGCTTCCATGTCCCCAGCTTAGCCAGCACACTTACCATGAGCAGACTCTCTAGCCGGGTCACCTCCTGCTCCAGGCCCTGCAGCTCTGGGAACTGGCCTCGATAGTCATCCAAGGCCGACATTAAAGCTCCTAGAGCCTCTTCCAGCCTTTTGTCCCCAGCCCCTTCCGCCGCCTCTGGGACTGGAGACTGAGTAGTTGTGGCCACATTAAGGTCTGATTGCTGGGGGGCGGGGGCTAGAGGGGAGGGTGGAGGACTTGAGCTCTGAAGGCTGGACTCGGGGGCAGAGCTTGTGTGGGGTTCCCGATCAGAACAGGGGGGGCTCAAGGAGGAGGTGATGGGGGCTGTGAGGTCTGCCTGAGTGCAGAGTGGGGAGGTGGGTTGGCCACGAGGTTGGGTGTTGGTACCTGGGAGGTTGGAGTCTTTGTGCACAGAGGAGCTGGGAAGAGTAACAAAATCTGGAGAGGTGGAAAGGCTCAGAGTTTTAAGGGGGGTTTTGGTGGTAGGGCCTGTGGTCATGGAAGTCTGAACCAGGTCTGTAGCATTGGGGGTTGCATTTGTAGTGGTGTGAGTTGACACCTTAGCTTGGTGCACAGAGTTCAGGGCAGCATAGGCAGGGCTTGTGACAGAGTGGGCGGGGCCTGACATGACATGGGCGGGGCCTAGGGCTGTGTGGATGGGGCTTGTGGGGGTGGAGGTTACAGTAGTGTTAGTGGGGCTTGTGATGGTCTGAACTGAGCCTGTAGAAGTTAAGGGAGACTGCACTGGCTTATGGGAGGGGCTTGTGGTAGTCTCGACCTGCTCTGTGGTATTGGTGGTAGGGCCTGTAGTTGTGGGTGTAGAGAGCACTGGCTTGTGAACAGGGCTCGCTTGTTTGGAGCTTGTGGTCTGGGTTGATTCTGTGGTGCTCGGGGTAGAGCCTGTGGCACTGGGCAGAGGGCTTGTGGTACTGAGGGTTGAGACTGTGGACTTGCGGGTGGAGCCTGGAGCAGAGCACGTGAGGCTTACAGCACTGTGGGAGGTGCTTATGGCACTATGGGTGGAGATTATAGCAGTGTGGCTGGGGCTTGGCTCTTCTGGGGCCTTATGAACTGGATCTGGTTGTTCAGACTGGGCAGGCTCTGGAAAAGTGTGAGCAGGGCCTACTGTACTGATGGCTGGTGTTAAGGTGGAATGACTAGGGTCCAGGGCAGGGAGCTCCCCAAGGGCTGGATTTGGGAGTGCAGATGGACTAGGTGCTCGACCTAAACTTTCCACCCCAACAGTCTCTATTGCAGCTTCTGCTAAGACAGCATCTACACTGGCTTCACTGATGTGGCTCAGTGTTCGGCTGTACGGGGCATGCCCATTGGCCAGGACTGGGGCCACAGTCCTCTCCTCATTCATGAGCCCAGTGGTGGGGGTCTCAGGCCTACAGAAGGCGACTTGAATGGGCAGGGGCTCAGGTTGCTGCACCAGGGGCCTGGGGGCAGAGGAGTGGCGTGCGGTGCCTGAGAGCTGTGGGCTGGAGGAGTCGTCTGAAGATTCAGATGACAGGGACCACGCTGTTCCGTTCTCCAGCTCCTCCTGCCGTCGCAGCATGTTCTGTGCAAGAGGGAAGGGCATTTCAGGACCACTTCATGGGCCTCTGGGAGCTGCGAAGCCAGGACCTAGGCTGCCACTCACATAGAAAGCCTGCTCCCGCAGCGAGGGTGTGTCTGGTGGGCTCTGGCTATAGGTGGAGAAGCGTTTGGTGACTGTGGAGGCCTTGTTGACACTAGATGCAGCTGATGGCTGATCATCCTTGTCGAAGGGGCTGAGAAGGGAAAGGGCTATTAGCAGGTCCCAGAAGCTCTGACCTTTGCCCTAAACCCTTCTCCTTAGGTACCACTAACCTCCATATGACTTCCAGGCTGAGCTTAATGGTGCCAAGGTCATTGATGTCCACAGCCACAACTTGAGGCAGGGCAGCAAACAGGTCCTTGGTCTCGCAGGACACGCTGCCCACAACCACATGATTGGCCAAGCCCTTCAGTTCTGTCACCTACAGCCAAGAGAGAACAGTGGGATCACCAGAGTGTCAGGGCTACCAGATGGTGAGAGACCAGAGGTCTGACTGTGATCAGAGATCAAAGAGGTTATGAGATGGTCATGAAGTCATTCACAGGGGCCTGGGGGTCTTGAGGACATCTCAGTGATTGCATCCTCAGGAATGCACAGCCGTGGAGGCTTAAAGTAGTCTGAGAATAACAGACCACAGAAGTCTGAGCATGAAGCCTCACTGAGGTCATGGGGGATTGCAGCCTCATGGAGATCCCAAAGGTCAAGGAGTCATGAGGAAGCACAGGTCAAGGGGCTACAAGGTCACAGGGGTCACAAAGATTGTTATTTTTAAGATCATGAGAAAAAAAATCACAAGGCTATGAAGATCCAAAACAAAAACTCTATTGCTGATCTGAACTGTACTGAATATGATACTGAAGACCACAAAAGAACAAAGAGATGTGTCTTGGAGAAGGTGCAGCCAGAATACTCTTTGGAGGCAAAGATGATAAAGCTTCTCTTCCATACTTTGGGCGTGTTGCTAGGAGGGGCTATTCCTTAGAGAAGGACATCATGCTTGCAAAGGTAAAGGAATAAAGAAAGACCCTCAATGAGATGGACTGACACAGTGATTGGAGAAATGTGTTCCTACTATGTCAGAGATTGTTTTCCCCCCCTTTTTTTTAATTATTAAATTTTATTAGTATTAATGAACATTTACAGGGATTTTGGGTTTTCATTCCTTCATTGCTGTACCATTCTCTCTAACCTCTTCCCCAGTTTGTTCTTCTTATGTCAGAGATTGTGAAGCTACCTCAGGATAGAACAGAGTTCAGATCTGTGGTTCACAGGGTTGCTGCGAGTCTACTCGACTGAATAGCACTTAAGGACAAGAGTAACCCTTTAAGACAGGTTTGGACTGCTTCCTTCATAAGGTTAGCAGCTGAACTCCCTTTGATGAAATCAGGGGGTCATATATTCGCCAAGCCATTATTTTGAATTGAATTGTGTGCTCCTAAAATACATACATTTTAAAATTCTTATCTATAGGCCTGAGGTTAGAATTCCATTTGGAGGTAGGTTGTCTTTGTTATGTTAATGAGGCAGCATTAGTATATAGTGTGTTTTGAGTTGATCTCTTGTTAATATTTAAAAGAGATTAAATGAGAAAGCAGAAAAAAGCAGAGACAAGAGGAGATACACTTCAGAAGAGACAGAAATCTTTCTCCAAAAAGCCTTCCCTCATAGCTGGCACCCTGAATTCAAACCTCTAGCCTGTATAATGAAAAAATAACATTTCTGCTTGTTAAGGTCACCCACTTGTGGTACTTCTGTTATAGCAGCACGAGATCACTAAGGCAGCCATGGAATCATGAGGGGTTATGGGGATTGCTGTCCTCAGACTCTTAGGGTCATGAAGGTCACAAGGGGCTTACGGGGTCAGGGTGTCTGGAGCAGGAACAGCACCTTAATGGACAGGAATTCCGTGAGCAGAGGCAGAAAGATGGTTTCCTCACTGTCCCACACCTGCTTCCCGCTCCCCTCGATGCGGCCCCGTAATTTCCAGCGTTGACGCCCATACTTCATGCAGATCTAGGGGAATAAGCAGGATGACGGCTGTCCCTGGTGTGCTGACCCTGCCATCCGCCCTTCCCTGCACATCCTCGTACCTCATACTGATCGCCTACACAGAGTCTGGCGAAGCCAGCCAGCCCTAAGAGTGGGGGAGACGTAGAATGAGCCATGCGGAGGGGTCTCAGAAACACCCCATCTGTCACCCATCTGCCCCCACAACTCTGTACCTTTCATCCGGAGATGGAACTCGCCCAGCTGTGCTTCCAGCTCACTCTCCAGCACACACATGCTCTGAGAGGAAGGGGACAGGTTATCAGTAACCAGCTCTGACCAGCCCTGCCATGCCCTGGCCTCCCATGACAGGCACCCACCCTCACCTCTGTGTACTCCCGATGCCCTCGAGTGGCCTCAGCCAGACTGTCCCGGGCCTCTCGGCTCCCTGGGGACCCAGTGGTGTAAGCACGAACCATGTTGGAGGCACCATCCCGGAGACGCCGCTGAACACAGTATTGCTCATATAGCTCATCGATCTGGGTGAGAGTGGAGAATGAGACTTATTCACAGTCCAGCACCCTACCCTGATCTTGTGACACCCCAGCCCCCACCCCATTTTGCAGCTGCACATGCATGCTACACACGTACCTTGCTTGCATGGAACTCCAGCCGTCGAAGGAAGCGCTCAATGGACTTGACTTGCTGGGGGAGAGGTGGGTCAGGAGTGGCCTGAGGTCCAGAGCCCTTTACCTTCTCCAGGTGCCAACCCCTCCCACCACTACTGCCACACTTACCTTGTCTAAATCGTATAGGAAGCCCTGCAGGGGGAGATGAAAAGGGACACTTAGGCATGAAGAGGACTCCAGCAGGGGTGCTTGCTCACTCAGACCCACATGTAGCTCTTGTCTGTCAGCCATCCACTCACATAGCAGTTCAAAACAACTCCAGTCACTGGGATTGACCCCCTTCCCACACCAGGCCCGGCCCTTTGTGGGTGCTGGTGACACTGATCTGGTCCCCAAGATCACACTAGTACCTTCTCCTCAGCTCTTTCCTAGTTCTATCCACTCTCTTTCCTACAGCACCTGGGGAGACCTCTGCAACTGGTGTCTGGCTCTCCCTGCCAGGAAATTCCTACTCATCCTTCAAGACCCAGTAACAGTGTCTCCCGGGGAAGCCCTGATGATCCTTTCAACAGGAAGAACCACAGCTCTCTATCTCAGTCATAGTACTACAACATCTATATAATACTACATAATTTTCTGCTGTCTATGTTTGCATACTCTGACCCACTATCTGGGCAAAAGCTGAGTCGCAGGCAGGAAGTGTACACAGCAAAGTACTAGAGGATGGAACCCCTAGCCGCCTCAGATAACCTTTTTTCCAGTCTTATTTGGCCTAAGTCATCCAGAAAACTGATCCAAGACACCTAGGCTTCTGGCAGCCCTCCACACCACAAAGCTAAGCTGGGGCTCAATCAGGTCATCCCCTGGCTGCCACACTCCTCACCAGACGGGAATTTCTCTTGGACTCCTTTATCTGCCTCTGGAGTTTCTCCTGCTCCTGCTGGTGCACTTCCAGGTAGGCCCTGGGGAAAGGAGCGACAGGAATTAGCGGACCTCTCGAGCTTCAAGTGGAGAGAAAGGTTTCCCCTTCGCAGGAGAGAGCCTGGGAGAAGTCTTGGTAAGGGACTCACTTACGTCAGGCCCCGCTTGAGTGCAGCGTACACCTGGTCCAGCCGCTCTGGCTGTGGCACCTTGGGGGCTGGGTGTGCCACGGAAAACATCCTAGTTACCCGGGCGAGCGCTGGGGGCTTACGTGGGGGTCCCGGGGGGCTGAAGGCCTGGAAACTCCTGGAGAAGAGATCGTCCTGAGAAAGGGACGCTCAGGGGGTGCCCCCCAAACCTCGCCACTTACCCTGTTTAAACACCCTTGAAACTAACCCCCCCCTCATACCTGGGCCCCCGCTCGTGGCTGCCGAGGACGCCTGCGAAGGACTGGCTCCTACTGACCCGGGCGCTGAGCAGGCGGCGCTGTGGCCTCACGGACAGGGACATCATGGAGTGAGTCCGCGCGGGGCTCCCTAGGGGAGGCGAGAGGAGTGTCCAGCGCCAATCGGCCCCCTGAAATTCCCTCCCTGCAGGCCCAGATCAGGTCGTTCCTGGTCACCAGATGCCACCAAGTCAGGAGTCCAGTGGGCTCCAGCCTCAGGATTAACCCCTGCCCGCCAGGGTCTGACTCCCTCGCTGGCTGGGCGCTAATGACAGCCTGCCAAGGGCGACTCGCCTCGGACTCAGCGTGGCCTCGGCTCGGCCCCCACTTCCTGCTGATGTGCCGGCTCCGCCTGCAGCGGGGCAGGAAGGGGGGTCGAGCGGGGACCCTCCCCTGGCTGGGAAGGGGCAGGAAAGAGGCGGGGCGCGTGAAGAATGCGCGGAAGCGCCTGTTTACCCGGGGGCGGGGCGGGCGCCTCAGTCCTGCCCTCAGTCCCCCACCCCCAAGTCAACCCAGAGCTAGTGCACCCGCACCCCAGGAGGCCGCGGGAGGTCACCCGGTAGGGCGAGGTGCTCCGATCCCTGCCAAGCTGCCGGACAGGCCGGGCCGGTGCGCGCCTGGCTCCTGAGACCCGCCTGCCCCATGTAAGCTGGCTCCCCTGCTCTCAGGCTCCCGAGTGCTGAGCCCTCCCGGCTTCTCCAGTCCGGGGATTCCCAGGATAACCAGCCGTGCCGAGAAGTGCTCCGCCCCCTCCACTTTTCCTCAGCTCCGAACTGGAAACTGAGTCACACACGCGCACCCTAGCCTGCACCCTTAGTGGGAGGGGGACCTCGCCTATCTCCGACCCGTTTCATCGAAGCACGCGCCGCTGGGCCCCATAATCGAGCCTCGCACATCCTGAGGCCAGTCCCAGCGCTTCTGTGGCCCTAGGCAGGGTCCTACCTTTCTTCTTGGTGTTCATGGTCGGTCCTGGACAGCCCCCGCCTGGCACTCACTCCCTGCAGTCGGCGCAGGGCTGCGCGGTGCAGACCCCAGCTGGGCGCTGTGCTCTTCCCAGGGCTCTAGCCTGGGCTTAGACTCCTCCCGGCGCCGCCCCCCGCCCAGTTCCTGCCGCCTGACTCAGCCTGCGGAGATGGGGCGGGACAGGCCGGGCCAAGGGGACAAGGAGGACTAAGGCTTGTCTGTCTGCCAGAAACGGAGGGGACTGGTGAAGGTTCTTTACTGGGGTCGGGAGTGTGGGTAAAAGGAGTTGCACACAGTTGTGAATGGGGGTCTCTAAAGAGGATGAGGGGATGAGTCAGAATTTTACTGAAGGCAGTGAAAACAGGAAACTCAAAGACTGCAGGATGAGGGATGCTGAGAGGGGGCTGAACCCACAGAGGGCTGAGAGAAGAGGTTCTGAGTATGTGAAGGGTGGAGGGGTGGGGCAGAGAGTGGAGGAACGGCCCGTGGTCCACAGAGAGTGGGATACTGACCCTGAGGGGCCTGAGATAAAAGACTGGACCAACAATTTCAGTGTCCTGCTGCCTCAAGAAGGAAAGGACAAGAAAATCACACAGCCACTTACACAACCCTCACCTCTATCTCCACAGCGGGTAGGAATGAGGGTGGGGGTTTATTCTGGGGACTTCTCTTAGACCTCAGAGAAGAGAATCAGAGCCCGCTGCCTAGCCAAAGGTACATCTTTAGCTACATCTGCGTTTAGGCCCAAGTTCTCATCATCTTGGCCTCTAGCCCACATGGGCCCCTCAGGCCCTGAATCCTTGCTTGTTGGTCTTTTCTCCCTTAATATTTCTTCCATCAATAGCTTCCTTCTGTCTGACTGGGATGGAGATAACTCCTTCCTATAGACAAGGCTGCCTGATGTCAGAGGTGCTGAACGCTCACTTGTCCCCTAAACCTTCCTGGTCCTTTGAGGCTTAACTGTGTGTTCTAAAAGGCAGAGGTGGGTCTGCATTTCCCACAATCCACCTACCACCCCACATGAATTGAGATGCAAGAGGTCCATGGATCACAGTGTGAGAAACGCTACTGTCTCTCTTACCCCCCTGAAGCACCCACATGGGTGACCTCTGTATTCCCAGGTGCCAACCCAACACTGGCATCTCAGTTCCCTTCAACCACTCCCCACCAGCCCAGCCCCATCTTGCATCATCTGTGTCTGGAATGCCCCTTCCCTCAAGCACAATCACTTTGACATCAACTTCCCAGCTCACCTGCTCTCTCTCTTCCTGAGACCTCTGGTCCCTTGAGCCCTCAGCTCACTTATCCAACCATTCAGAGTGACAACCCCGTTCCAGCTTGTGCCAGCTGCTGAGATACAGCTCTGAACTTTGCAGATACCATCCTGCATGATGTTCACAGCCCGCCTCTATTTTCTCTCTGCCAGCCGCCTCCTACTCCTCTACTTTCTCTGTACACCCTCGCACCAGGCTGGATCGGCAGCGCTGCTCCATCACTTGCTAATCTCAGAGCTCCACATCTCTTGCCTACCTGGCCGGAACCATCCCTGGGCAACCCAGCTCCCTGCCTTCTCTGCATCTGCACACAGGCTGGCAAGATCAGCTGGAGGTCTCGGAACTATAAAGCTCAGCTGGAACCATGGAGCAGTTCTCACACTCAGCCAAGCTCTTTCCCTACCCGATAAATTCTTGCCTAATCACCTAGCTTGCTCCCTTCTTATAGAAGATTCGTGTTTCAAAAATGGTCCACAAGCCTGAAACAAGCTCAGGCTGCTCTCATGTAAAACAGAAACAAAAATAACCCTGGAAACTACTAAATGTCCATCAATACTGAAATGGATAACTGGTAACCAGTTACTACTTAGTCAATTCTGATTTATGGTGACTCCATGCCTGACAGAGAAAAACTGTGTTCCCTGGTATTTTTACCAGGATTCTTGGAATCTCCGGGCCTTTCTTTCCAGAACCTACTGGGTAGATTCAAACCCCCAGCTTTTCAGTTAGCAGTGAATGTGTTAACCCTTAGCACTACCCAGGACTCCACCACTGTTGTTATGTTGTTATCAACAAGTTGGAATGAATGAGTGGAAGCCCAAAATCTCTGTAAATGTTTATGAAAATTAATAAAATATAATTATAGAAAAAAAAAACCCAACAAGTTGGAACCTACTGATAGCTGACCCTCCAGTGGGTTTTCGAAGGCTGTATATTGTATGGGAGGGGTCTTCCCATCTTTCTAACATGGAGCAGCTGGCAGACTCAAACTGCCTGCCTATTGGCTGACAGTGCATCTCCTTACCACTAACCCACCAGAGCTTCCTCAGCACTCCAATAAGATGTATAATAAAATATTTTACAGAAGAAAATATCTACAGATATGAATGCATCTTACAGACATGCTGAATGAATGACGATACAAGAGATGACCTGGGTTTCCTTCTTTCATTTTATAATTTTTTGTGTGTGCTGTCAAATTGGATCTGACTGGTACAGGAGAAGATTGTCCCTCCTTCTCCAGCAGACCATCTGGTGGATTTGAATCACACACCTCTGGGATTGCAGTGCAGCTTCTTGCCACTAGGCCACCAGAGCTCACCAGTTTCCCTCTTTAAATGAAGTTTAAGAACAGGCAAAATTACCTATGGTGATAAAAGTCAAGATAGATAATAGTTATCTTTAGGGGAGTGGTGGAGCAGCGGTAGAAGGAGGCACAGATGAGGCACTTTACCAGGGTGCTGGTAATGTTCTATTTCTTGATCTAGGTTCTGGTTATAGGGACGTGTTCCTCTGTGAAAATTTTTTTAGAATAAACCTTGGCTGCTAACTGAAAAATCATTGCTTTATATTCCATGGCGTACAGCACTGCCAGCTGAAAGGCTGTGCATCTCCAGCTGTTCGAATCCACCAGCAGCTCAGAAACGGGGTTGCTATGAGTTGGAATAAACTCCATGGCAGTGAGTTTGAGCCTCTCCACAGGAGAAAAGGCTTGGTGATTTGCCCCTGTCAAAATTATAGCTGAGGAAATCGTACAGGGTGGTACTGTTCCGTCTCCTCTGTCATACTCCACTATGAGTCAGAATAATTTACTAGGACACAACACTACCACTATCAATTAGGATATATACACTTTTTTGTATGTATATTATATTTCAATATAAAGTTGACTTTAAAAAAGTAACTACCAAAAAACCCCCAACTGATACCTCTGAGGGCCTCTCACCTGGATCTCTTTCCAGTGAAGTCTTCCTCTGTGCATTTCAGACCCAAGTTTCTTGAAGAGATGTCTGCCTCCATTTCCTCACCACACCCACCCACTCTTCTTCTCATTCTGGTCTGCCTTCTGTACCCACCCCTCAGCTGATTGGTCTGGACATAGTCTCCAGTGACCTCCCTGTTGCTGAATCCAGCCAGTCCTTATCCGGCTTGATCTCAGTAAAGCTTATGACCTGTGGCTCCCTTCCTTTTCCTAGAGCTCTTCCTTCCTTGAATTTCAAGATGCAACATGATTCTGGCTTCCTACAGATTTTAGGGAATTTGAATGGCTTAGTGGTTAAGAGTTGTACCACCAACCCAAAGGCATGCTGTTCGAATCTGCCAGCAGCTCAGTGGGAGAAAGATGACCAGTCTCCTCTCGGGCAATTTACAGTCTTTGAAAATCCACTGGAGAGTCGGCTGCGAGTCAGTTCTGACTTGATGGTACACAGCAACAACTGACCTCTCTGCCTGCCTATCTCATTGTCCCACAAATGACCTGTCGCTCTCTCCATCCCTACCCTTGGGATGTGTCATTTCCAGCAGCTCAATGCTATTGAATCAATGCCACACTCTCTATATCACTGTCATGCTCTTCTGAGCTCTAGTCTTAGATATCCAATTGCCTGCTTGACGCTGCTGCAGAAGTAGACTGACAATGTGGAGTCAGCTGTTAACTGATGTACTGAGTTTGAAATTTACAAAGTGAATTCACTGTGTTCCTCCCAAACCAGACACTCCCCAGTCTTAAGCTCTCCATGATGACCCCGCATCTCTTTATGCTTTTTCTCAAGACAGTACTGAGAGGGATCCTGGATGCCTCTGTGTCCCCATATCCACTTAGATGCTGACTCTGGCTATTTCTACCTCTTAAGCATCTCTGGAATCTGCCCTCTCATCTTGACCCCTGTAACTAGAACCACTAATTCTCATCTAGAACCTTACAGTAGCCTCTTCCCTGGATCTCAATATCATTTGCAGTGCTCCGTTCTCTATACAGTAATGACGCTACTTTTTGTACCATTGCGGTCACTTTGCAATGCCAAGACCAACATTCATTGAGTGCTTTCTGTATATGCCAGGCACTATGCTTAACAATAGGAAGCTCTGGTGACCTAGCAATCCTAAAGGCATGTGGTTCAAATCTACTAGCTGCTATGCTCTGCTGGACAAAGATGAGCAGTCTCCTCCCACGTGATTTACAATCTCTGAAAACTCGCTGGAGGGTTAGTTGTGAGTTCTGACTTGACAGCACCTACTACTATCAACACTTAACAATCATATCATTTTACTTTAGCAACAATGCTATGGAATAAGTGCCATTATCCTTCACAGATGCGACATCTGAAGCTAAGTGTGTGCTGGTTATGTATTCTTGAGCAAGGAACTTCTTTTAGTCTTTTGGGGCTTCATCTGTACAATGGGGATAATAATAACAACCACCTCACTGAGCTGTTGGGAGGATGAAATAACTCCCTTTGTAAGTGTTTATGGGAGCTCTGGTGGCTCAGTGTGTAGGGAGTTGCACTGCAGACTCAAAGGCTGCATTTTACCAGTGGTTCAAATCCACCAACTCCAAGAGAGAAAGATAAGCAATCTTTTCCCATGTGATTTATAACCCCAGAAACCTATTGGAGGCTCAGAGATGAGTAGATTCTGACTTGATAATGAATAGTAGTACAAATTTAAGGCTTAACTATCTCATACTGTAAGCATACAATGCATATTGTTGTTGTTATTATGTGTC